GTCAGGTTCAGCTCCCGCAGCTCTGAGAGGAGGCCCACTCCCCCGGGCAGATCCTCCAACCTGTTGTCCAGGAGGCTGAGGCGCTGCAGCTTCCTCAGGCTGGACGGGAAGACACACAGGTTTGACAAAGGAAGCCATTATTTGCCATCTGATGGCGAAATATTCCCCATTCCAGATCCAAACCTTCTCTCTCTTGCCCTCTCTTTCCCTCACCCCCAACCGGCCGAGGCAGATGGCCGCCCACCCTGAGCCATGGTTCTGCTCGAGGTTTCTGCCTGTTAACAGGAAGTTTTTCCTTGCCTGTGTCGCCTAGTGCTTGCTCATGGTGGGAATTGTTTGGTTTCTGTAATTAACTTCAGAGTAGGGTCTGACCTGCTCTGTTTGGAAAGCGTTGTGAGACAACTGTTGTTGTGATGTGGCGCTATATAAATAAAATTTAATTGAATTTAATTGAAAACCGAATGACCTCTCCATCAGGTAACACCACAGACCCATAACTGACCCTGTGGAGACCCTTGGAGAGTCCAGATCCAAAGGTACGTACCTGGTTATCTCAGGTGGAAGCCTCACAATCTGGTTGTGGTTGAGATTGAGGACGACCAGGTTTCGTAAGCGACCTGGAAAACACGTTTATTAATCTAATTCAGTGTTTTTCAACCACTGTGCCTCGTCACACTAGTGTGCCGCGAGTGATGGTCAGGTGTGCCGTGCAAAAACATTCTATTTCACCTAATTGGTCTAAAAAGATTTTTTGATGAGGAATTTATTATCTGCAAATAATTTTTGAGTGTTTGTGCTGTACAAGTGACTGGTGGAGTAATCATGTAATAATTCCTTATGACTAGATTTTGTATATCATTTTGCATATTGAAGTGGACATGTTAAGTGCAATTTGAAAGAATAAATATAAAATATGATAAAAATACATTTTTGTGTTTATTTGATTCCTATTCAAGACACTTAAGATAAGAATAACTATAGTGTTACTATAGGCGGCTACAGATTTGTTTGACATTTTTGGTTGGTGGTGTGCCTCGTGATTTTTTCAAGGAGAAAATGTTCCTTGGGTCAAAAAAGGTTGGAAAACACTGATCTAATTGACATCATTCCATTTCCGTGTTAATCACGTGAGGCAGGAAGAGTCTACCTATCACATCAGGCGGCAAAACCGTGATCTGGTTCCTGAACAGGTAGAGTTTTTTCAAGGCCTCCAGATGACCCAGAACAGCAGGGACCTCCTTCAGGGCATTATTCCCCAAATTCAGCTCAGTCAGCTGAAAAAAAAGAAGAACTCTGTGTGCGGGGTTCAACACTTCCGGGGGCTCATTTGGCTCTTTTCCAGCTAAACAAACGAAGAGGACTCACCTGTTGAAGAGCCACCAGCTCTGAGGGGAGGAAGCTGAGGCGGTTGTGGCTCAGAGAGAGCACGCGCAGGTTTGGGAGTCTGCTCACGCACGCGGGGACGTCCTCCAGTTTCTTCCCGTTTAGACCTAAAGACGTCGACCGTCCGTACAAAGCTCGAACCACCTGCTCTTTGACGGAGAAACTTGGCGTGTCCATTTGTCCACCTTGGAGGGACTGGGGGATCGACTCTGGCCCCGGGGAGTTGCCATGGTGACGGAAACAGGACGCTCTTCCGCGTTTCACGCGGCCGGAGGGTGACATCTAGTGGCCGGAAGGAGGCACTGCAGGGTTTTTTTAAACTGGGTTCACGTCAGCTCTGTGTTTATAAATAAGTGTGTGCTTTTGTGTGGTGGCTCAAACAGGTGAAAAGAACACATTTCTTGCCTCGAATTAACCTTATGAAGGTACTTGTGGTGGAAACACAGCAGAACGTCTCATTTGAATCATTCCAGTGCCTAAAAAGCTGTGTGGATGTTGTCTGGTTCCATCACCAGTTTACGTCAAAAAAGTCCTGTAATCCTTCACTCCGCAGTTCCTTCAGCTTTCTGCAACTCCAAGGTTCATTGCTGATGCTCAGAGGTTTAGAAGATATGCTAAAAATGTCGTTTATTAGTCTGTTTTGTATTTGGCCAGAAGGCGATTGAGCTGATTAAATGGCAAACTGCCACAATAAAAGCCTAATTCATCATTTTCTGTGCAGAGGATTGACACATAATAACTAGGAGGATGTCTCAACTCTTGCCTCCTGTCCCTGGGACGGGGCCCCAGCCCTCTGCTCCTCTTAACTGGACAACGTGGGTCTATCTGCTGTAAGACTGTAACCACATGAGGGGATCTTTTATATAACAGCTCTCAGGACATGTGCAAAGAATATAGGAGTGTTAGTAACGGACAATTTGGGTCAGCTGGGCCTTCCACAGACACTATCAGATCTGTATTTGGGCATTTTCTGAGCCTTCCCTTCCAAATCTGGGCTTTCTCTTTGCAGTTAAACTTCCAGACAGATCAAAAATGTCCTCTCAACTCAGTGCATCTCATTTTATTACACATGTTCATGTACAAGCGCCATGATTTACAAGATCAACAAAAGTTGAATCGCCTCCAAGAGCGCACCATTTACTTTACAACTAACGTGCTGGGATTCTGCTTGATGTGACCAATCCAAAGACCAGCTGCCGTCTTCTACGGTAGCAGTTTAGTTTAAAAACAAGAAGTAGAACCCGTCATCCTGAGATGGACGACAGGAAAACTCCTGGGATTGTTAGTATAGCTCCAGGGTACTGAATTTAAAGTTATTCACTCTTTATTTTCTACACCTGCACGTTTTCACGGGGGTCTGATTTGATCTCACACTTCCTGTTTGTTTGTTTTTTACTTGGAAGCATCACACACACCACATGAGTTTACCACTCTCCAAACAGGCTGGTGTGAATCCTTTGTGTGGCACGTTTGAACACTCTGAATGACACAAATTTGTTTATTTCACGACAAATCTGCCGTTTCTCAGCTGTCCTCCACACCGTCAGGATCCTTTAGCCGCTCCACGCTGTTGTAGTGCTCTCCCAGTCCGTAGGCATGACGCATATACCTGTTTGTTTTTAAGAGAAAAGGAAATTAGGCTCAGAACATAAGAGATCGGCAGCATTTTATACAGATAAAAAGGCATAAAACTATGTCTGAAAAAGGTCTGAGAAGCTAAAGTACTTAGCTGGAATATTCTTTAATATTCTCTAACAAATTCAGATCCACCTCATCAGGATGTTTGTTTGCTCCCAACCACGTGACCTGTTCTCTTATAGTTAGCTACAGCAGGTGTAAACGACACATTTGGATGTTCTTACACGAGCGTGATGAGTCCGCCCTCATATTCCTCGCCGATCTTTACGGAGGGGGAGTCGGCCTGGACGACTTCTATGGGCACCTTGAGGATCTGGGTCAGAGCTCGAAGCTACGGGAATAAGAAGAGGCCATTATCGAGAGAGGAAAACAACACAATCGGTGCGTGTTGACTGGAGAGGGACTCACCTCCAGCTGCCCCCCCCAGGCGGCCGTGTGCTCCACGTCACTGCAGTATTTCTCAAACTCATCTGGAAAAAAAGACATTCCTCCTGAACTAGGCTTGTCCTGATCCGATATCTGGATCGGATGCCGATATTTGCAAAAAAATGTGTATCGGCCGGCAGGAGAAAATGCAGATCCAGACTTCAGATCCAGTTTTTTTTTTTTTAAAGTCCGATCCCACATTAGCATTAGCATCTGCCAACCCACAGTTCTGTGTCCTAACCATTAACTCATTGGCTGCCAAAGACGTCTATAGACGTCTTTTATGTTTTTCAACGAGAGTGGCTTG